CATGTCCTTGTTGATGAAAGGTAGACCAGTGACCATGCAGGGGAAAGGGTCCTAAGGCTCCTGGATAGCAGCCGGAAACTGCTCCTCAAAGATGTCTTAGTCTCACCCTTGCCCCCTGTTGTACAAAGACCCCCTTCCCCACTCCACGTGCCTAGTTTTTCTTCTCATTTTGCATCAACTCCCCAAGGAACTCTGTGGTTTTGCCTCTTGACACTGAGTGCTGGTTACATCCTGCCTTTGCTATCCTAAGCTTCTCAGGATTTGGAGTTAGCCGTGCCCTCTGGTACATGGCATGACGAGTGCTGTGCACTTCCCTGCCCCTTGTCCCACTGCTGCATCACCAATGTTGGGTGTCTTCTTCTTCTCTCCTCTTCGCATTCTCTGCAACCCCTCTCCCCAATATGTGTCTGTTGTGTGTCCTTTAGAAGAACTACCCCCCCCTTGCGGTTTTCTCCTCTCTCAACTCTAGTTGTGTTTCTAACCTTCGCCTCCTCCATCTTTTCTCTTCCCTGCTCCCATTAGGATTTGTTTCAGGTACCGTCTCCTCCTACTTCTTCTTCACCTTGATTTCCTCTCACCTGTCTCCTTCCGCCTCCCAGCCTGCTAGACTTTTGCTTTTTTTTAACGCTGTCTGTCTGATCTCTGCTCAGATCTTCCTGGGTTGTGCTTCTTTTTCTTCCCTTTTTCATGTCATTTTGTTGCTGCTCCCCAAAACATAACAAAGAACCCCTCTTTTCCATTCAGCTCTCAGGTGAGGGTGGCTCTAACTGTGTGCATTATTTCTGTCCTGCTTTAGAAAGCTTGTGCAGCTTTCTCCACCTGGGCTGAAAGATGACCTCCAGAAGGTGAAAGGAGGGGGCAGCAAGACAGGAGGGGGCCTCCTTTTCTGGCTCCTGAGCTCCCCCTGCTCCATCTGATCAGTTTCAGAAAGGAGGATGGAGGGGAGCAAGTCACTCCAACAAGGGGGCAGGTTCAGCCCAGGGACTGTTGACTTGCCGAACTCCCAATACTGTATGCATGTTGCGTCAGAAGGGTGGGGACTGTGGGCTCAGCATCTCCTACAAGGTGGGCTTATCCCCACCTTACCCCCAAATCTGCTTTACCCACAAAGGTTCAAGGTGGCTTACAATAAATGCTGGGGTGTCAGGCGGACCAGATGTTTCTGTAGTAAGTGAATACTTTGAAACTCTTCTGCTCAGGGTGTCCCCTCAGTGTTGAAACTGGGGCATGTCTGATCATGAATAAATGGTGCATCCATAGAATGGGTTCAGCATGCACAAATGCACAGAGCTTCATTTCATCACATAAAAAGGACAGTGAGTATCTGTCTGAGGTTTTTTAGAACATTGGTCCTCCTAGTTGTTGGGGCTTTGTGTGTGAGTTGGAGGAAGGGCCCCAGTCCAGGTTGCATGTCTTTCATTTTTCTTCTTTCCCTCTCCAGTCTGGTGCTTTTGGTAATCCTCAACATGATGCTGTTCTACAAACTCTGGATGTTGGAATACACTACTCAAACCCTCACAGCATGGCAGGGTCTACGGTTACAGGAAAGGTAACACACCCTACAAGCAAAATTTCTTTTTTTAATAATAATTTTTATTAATTTTAACATATAAATTATAATACATACCACAAAACTTCACCACTTATACAAATTTTTTTTGGACTTCCATCAGCACCTCTGATGATCCACCGTTTTAACCACTTCTTATGCATTTCTTAAATTCATATTGCCTTTAATTACAATGGTGCCTCGCAAGACGAAATTAATTCGTTCCGCGAGTTTTTTTGTCTTGCGGTTTTTTTCGTCTTGCGAAGCACATTCTTTTCTATTTATATCACTTCCTACGATGCCCAGTAAAAATGCTTCTGGTTTTTTTATAAATTTATATTTCAACATTTTTTTCATCTCATTATATATCATTTCCCAGAAGCTTTTCACTTTTTTACATTCCCACCCCTACGAGCAAAATCTCACTCTGTCCCTCTTGTGGCCAAACCACCATTGAAACCCAATAATATAAAAAATCTGCACTGCTTTCCAGGGCTCATCTTTCCGTCTCTGCCCTGACAGGTTACCCCAGTCCCAGACTGAATGGGCCCAGTTATTAGAGTCCCAGCAGAAGTATCATGACACAGAGCTTCAGAAGTGGCGGGAGATCATCAAATCGTCCGTGATTCTCCTAGATCAGGTGAGAACTTGCATCTAGAACCCTGGTATGGATGTGACTGACCTTTTTCTCTGCATGCCACCAGTTGAAATCACAAACCATTTGCCAGAGGCACAGGGGGATGAACATGGTTCATGTTTTCTGCAGTGCTGTGGAAGAGCTAATTACTCGTGGAAAGGAGATTTGAACAGAAAATAAAATGCTCCAGAATCAAGAAGATGGGAAATCATTATTTTTGAACTTTAGTTAACTTGGCTGCTGATCTTGAAGCACAGATTTCCCTTCACCCTCCCCAAGAGAGCCTTGCACACTTTTTTAAACCAAAGTTGCTATCACAGGGCTGCTAGCTTTTGCCTTGGGGGTTGCTAATTGCATATCCTTTCTCTAGCAAATTATAATACATTTGTGTGGCTGCAGACTCCACCCCCCTGGCACCCATATGTTTTTCTGTGTGCTGTAACTTAATGGTGAAGTGTTACTCCGCTCCCATACTAAATGCACACAGCCAGTGGCTCTGATCCACCAATTTGCTTTCTCTGTGTGTGGAGCATATCCCAGTGTGTGGTGACTTGGAGAGCCATATAAGGGAGGCGCCTAAAGGCATCATTCGCCTCAGAGCAATCAGCAAGCAGATGTTCAGCCATCATGCTTGACGCATGTGAGATGACTGGACCCATGTGTGTTTGAGGGAGATAGCTATTGTTTTTAAGACAACAAAACTGTGTAGTACCCTCACTTGGCAAGCTGTAAGGAAATGAGGTCTTGCCATCAGGAAATGAAAGCCCTCAGAAAAGTGGGTACTTCAGGGAACCTCTGCCTACAGAGCTACATCAGCTGCAGGAGCTATTCAATTTCAATTGCATCTCCCTTTGCTTGTGTGGAGTTTCCCCCGTTAAAATGAACAGGGAAGTCTATATATGCAAGTTTGTTTGTTTGTTTTTATTTATTTATTTCTACCCTACTTTTCCCCAGAACCGGGACCTGAGGCAGCTTATGAAAATTAAAACGGAATGCTAAAAAATCATGCAAAAAATGATAGTTAGAAAGTAACTGAACTATAATTGAATTAAAACAATGTCAAAAGCAAATCTATTAATATATGGATTGCAAAAAAAGCACAGCAGTATTTGAAAGCTTCCCTTCCCATTTTTTGGTCTTGCAGATGAAGGATTCGCTAGTAAACCTCCAGAATGGAATTGGGTCCCGTGAATATCGGCCGGAGCCAGACGAGAAACGGAAACGGTTCCACTAGCAGACAGGAACCCAAGTGCGGCCAGAGGACTGTGTGCAATACATGTACATAGAATATATAAATATATATATATACAGAATATAAATATATATATATATATTATATACAGATTTTAAAAGAGAGAGCGAGAGAAAAATGAAGCCTATGTACTGAGAAGAGAGAGTGGTGTGTTGATCCGACCTCCAGCACTGGATGAAGTGGAGCGTCATCTGGGATAGGGGCAGGATGCGGCCGGGTTGTGCTCTCCCGGCACTGAGGCATTGTGGGAAAGTGCACCCCGTGCCATCCTGGGGCCCTCCCCCACACCTCTCTTAGTATCTGTTTGTCCGTCCGTCTGTCTGTCTCCCTCTCTCTCCGTCTGGGGTGTGTGTGTCGGGGGGTATTTCACCCAAAGGGAAGAATCAGAAGGGGTGAGATCCCACCCACTCACCCTCTCCTCCACATTTTACTGAAAGCGAGAAGCTGCTTATAGGAGATACTGTCTACTCTGGCTCTCAGGATAGTCGCTGAGGCTGGCAGGATGAACCCTCTTAACTGCTGCTATCACTTTTTTTCCTGGCAAGCTCTGTTGGAACGGCTCTGGGTAGCCCATCAACCAAGTGTTTGCTTCACAGCCTCCTTTTTACAGGGTTATCCTTTTAATGTTGACCTGGCTTGGTGCATGCTTCCTGTACCCCTTTCTGCAACTCCAGTGGAAAATACGTGCCCCCCAGGAGGGCGTAGCAACCTCATTGTGTCCTGGAGCGAGTTTTGCAATACAGGTAGCCAGGGATTGCTTCTTGAACACTCCCAGGTTCAGCTCGGTCCTTGACGCTCATTCTCTTCCATGGGAGGAGTTAGGTGAATGTATACCCCCCTCGTTTTAGTTTGACAGTGTCCCCTTTTGGTGTCGGAGACCCCTCTGATCATTGTGCATTTGCATTTCCATCTATGTATATCGTAGGAAACTGCTGCTTCACTGAAAGGGCTATACACATATATCCTTACCGGAGTGGGGGGTGGGTCCCAAAGCAAGTTTCACATAAAGAAAAACCATTCCCCAATTTCCCTCTTCCTGAAAACAAACGAGTTGATGGTACCAAGCTTGGATGCTTGGAAGTCCTCGCCCCAGTTCACGAGCTCCTTTTGCATGGGTTAGTTGCATCTTTTGTGTCCCACTGCATCCAGGAGAAGTGCAGAAAGAAAACCAGCCCCTTACTACTAAATGAGGAAATTGCTACTGCCTAAGCAGACAAATGGATCTTTTTGGCAGACGCAGCTGCCTCTCACATGCATGACTGTCTCTGGGATAAGTTATAGGGACTAAGGGTGGGTGATGTTTCAGGGTGGGCAGGTTTGTAGGCTGCTGACGACTTTAATCAAGTGAAGCCCTCGAACACCCTTTGGTAGCAGAATCAAGCCCAGTGTTGGTGACCTAAAGCAAAACAAACAAACAAACCCTGATAGCTCTGCAGAAATACAGAGTTTAGACTATTTCCTGGCCACTGCTTTTGGGAAATGACATGCAAAACATCCAGTTTTAAGATACTGGGAACTTTTCAAACAACAAATTAGAATGATCTGGAATTAGCTGAAGTCAAATGACAGTTCTATATTTTAAAAGCTTTCTTTTCTTTTTAAGTGGCAATTATATAAGTCGGGGCTCCAGAAGATTAAGCTCCTGTAGGGTTTACTTTGTTTTGCAAGAAGAGGAGGAGGGAAGATTGTTTTTCCACCAGTATAGACTTCACAAGAAAGTGTGGTTCACTGGTTTTTCTAACATATCCTTGTCAGCAAGAATCATTCCTGGTGGTTTGAAGGACAGGTTGGAAAGGCACCCCAACCCCCTTTACAGGCTAGGTCCTAGTTCAAGGGCTGTTTTCCCCACAACTGAGCACTGACCCAAAACGACTGCCTCCTTATTTCAGTGCACAATGTGTCAAACTCTTTAAGAGGGTCAGACTTTTTCTTCCAAGATCCCACCTCCCGCCACTGCCCCCATGGTTGAACTGTGTGTTTTGTGAACAGAGTAAGGCACACGGAGGGTGGGGGAAGGTGAGTTTTACTTTCCCCCTCTCTCTGGAGTAATGTCCACATTGACCCCATAGAGTTTTCCCACGGCTGGGGATCTTTGACTTGCCAACTGTACAGGAAGGCAATAGATATCCCTGTCAAAGGGCACTGAACCTGCATGCATAGCTCCTGTGTTCAGAACCACCCTGTTAAGCTTTGCAGAGCAAGCAGATTTGCAAGGACGAAGGAATATCCCTGTGTCTCTGCATGGTGCTGTCCTTGCAGGTGGAGGAAAGGCTTCTGCAGCTCTGGGGAGACAGGATTAAGATCCTAATTCAGTCTTACTGAGGCACATCTAATTTGGTTTTTTTTTAGGGATGGGGGATCAGTTACCCTCTAGGCATTGTTGGGACCTCATCTCTCATCAGCTCCAGCCAGCATGACCAGGGATGATGGGAGTTGCAGCCTTACAACATCTGGAGGGTCACAGGTTTCCCCATCGGAGACAGGAAAGATGACTTTTTAGCCCTTTGAACTGAGTTAGAGCATATAACTACCCTCCCTGCTGGATTGGTCATTGATGTTGTAAGGTAAAGATGTGTTGCCTTCTGGTTATCATTTGATGAGTTAAAGGTGCAATGAGGATGCAGGATCTGTTGTACCTGTGCTCTTCCTGCATCCCGCCCACCTCCTGGCAAATGATTCCTTTGAGGAAGGACATCCTTAGAGGACACTTGCTTTGTGACCGATTAGTTGCATTCTCCTGCCCCCAGTTGATACTGCGATTTCATCTCCACTGAGTTCAACATAGCTGCAAAGGACGCCAGCAGACCTATAAAGCAATCACCCTTGGGGCACAGATCAATTTGTTGTTCTTTTCTCAGGCCCATTGTCACCTTTTCAGTTTCATTAATTGGACTGACTCAAATACTTTTCTTTTTTTAAAAGCCTAACAAGTTATTGTGGAGGAAATGCTAGAGCTGAACACCCAGCCTGCACAATGGCCTTTCTGTTGCACAAGTGGTGGTGGTGGTGGGGGGGGGGTTGGTTCTCAGATTTTGTTCTCCATGCCCCCCTCCTCCTAATTTCTTCTCTCATTCTCTGGCATCTCCCTCATGCTTACCAAAAGCACAGGTGACTCTTGTTTTTGTGCCATAACACCCCCTCCCTAACCCCTCCAGATGTGCTAATCAGCCAAATTGGAGTGTTACCACTCACCCTGACTTGCTGAGCTTCAGCCACACACCTTGTTGAGAAAGAGAGAGTGTGTGACCATTTCATCTTTAGCAGATTCTGCTAGGATATATTCTCCCCTCACCACTGGAAAAGAGGCGAAACCTGGTAGCAATTCACCTTTCTATGCATTCTGCCCTTATTCCACTTCCTTTTCTCCCCTTTCCCTCGAGTTCCCAGGCTCTTGGCACCCTCTAGGGCTGGCCTGGCGCTGCCCCATGCTTTTCCTTCTTCCCCATGACAGCAGTGTCTTTTGAAATGAATGCGGCAAGGGAAGCAGACTCCCTTCCGAAGGAATCACATTCGCACATGGCTCAGAGTATCTTCTCTCTCTGACCCATTATTATTATTATTATTATTATTATTATTAATTACCTCACTTTATTTTGGCCAGTTTTTGTTGCTAAGGTTTGAAGGACTGGCTTCCCAACCTGAGCTTTGCATTGGATTTTTTTTTGGGGGGGGAGATGGTGGCATAATGTAGCAAAGGATTGGAAGCTGCTTGGGTGATTGCCCCATTGTTCAATCTCCTCTGGAGTCTGGGAGAGTGATTTCTGTGACTGCTTCCTTGAGAAATGAGCAGCCACTTCATTATAATGTTCCCTGTGTGGTGATGATGATGACCTTAAACCCACCTCTCTTCCTCCCCCCCCCCACCTTAAGCATGAACATCTGGCTTAGTTACTGACAATTATTTCTCAGATGTGCAAGTTTTCCTGACTACATTTCAACACCTTTATTGGTGGAGGGGTGGGGTTTTTGGGGGGGGAGCGGGGGGAGGGGAGAGACATAAAGGGAACAGACCAGAGGCCCTAGCCCTTCCGCACCTCCCAAATATTTCCCACAGCTGGAAGGGTCTGTGGTAGGAAGACAAAATTCTGGCATTGGGCTGATGTGCAGAGGACACCCCTGGTTGTGTCTGTAGGAATTGTCTGGCTGTGTCTGTGTGTCTGACTCTGTAACTATAATAAAAAACTTTGCGCTGTGCGCAAAGTCTAGTATACAAATTGATTTAAAAGGAAAAAAACAACAACCACCACCACAAACTTGACTGCTAGAAACTAGGAGTTTAAAAAAAGGCTACAAAGCCAAAATCTTAATGTAAAGTAGCTAGGGGGGGAAATGGAATAAGAGTATGAATAAAATATAATGAACAAAAGAGAGAGAAAAAGCATCACGTGGGTTCTTTTGCTTTTTATTTTGCTGTCTGTTTTCTACATCTCCTGTGCCTTTTCCACACACATCACAGACAGAAGACACAGTCTACCTTTTGAGTTGAAGACATCATACACGATTACCTTTGTGTGCCCATGTAAGGCATCCCACCAAGGGAGGTTGTATTCACCGTCAGAAATCCCATATGAACTACTGCATTAGAAGGCAGGCGGGAGAAGGTGTTATTTCTTAAAGAATTATGGAAGTAGTTGTGTGGGAGAAAAAATGTTAAGGGGTTTATCTTTACCATTCATTCTTCTGAAGCTTTCCTGGTTCCAGAACTGCTACTTAATTGCCCCACCTCAAGAGCTGAGGGTGTTACCAGATTCTATTATATCGGGTAAAGAATGCAGAGGCTGGATTTAGGCTCAACTGGATTAGGGTCAGATCACTTCCCAAGGGTTAAATGGCAAATCATGGGCAAAATCAAGAAGGAGGCCTTAGTGCGAAGAAAGCTCCTCCATGGTTACTTTCTGCAGGATGTGATGGAGTGCGCTTAAAGTGGGCATGACAGCTGGACCCTTCGCCATGTGGAATTATGGGTGCTGCTTTGGTTCACAATTTGAGTAACTCCACGAAGCGTGACATGTTGAAGAAGGTGAGTTACAGCTCTAAGCTTCAGATATAAGCTTCATAAATAAGATTAATGAATTAGTACAGGTATATGCTCGCTGAGTAGCATCAGCATTGCTATATTTGGAGGGGGGGAGAGTAAAAAAAAAAAAGCTTACAGGGTTGCTCCAAAAATTACTGAGACAGGGACCTGGTTCACACACAACGCTAAGCTAAACCATGATGTGGTTTGAATGAACCATTGTGGACTCCTAGAGAGGAATTGTAGACTTATCAAATTTTAGAGCTGGAAGGTCCCCCATAGGTCATTTAGTCCAACCCCTAATGAAACCCTGGCACATGGCCATGCAACCTCTGTTCAGAAACTTCCAATTGCAACCCTGATCGTTCTGCTGCTGTGACGATCTGGGCTCATGGCTTAGCTCTCCCCAGAGAAATCCTAAGCATGCCAGAGGGAGGGAAGGGAGCATAACCCTGCCACTCATATTTGTAGCAACAAACCATGGTTTGCCATTAAGTCTACAATGAGTCTTTGTGGTGGATTGTGCTCTTTAACTACAGCAAAGTACTTTGCTATTCATGCTTTTTCTAATACTATCATTTACTGTGAAAGAAAATAATGCATGCCTGGGCAATAATCTGATCCTACCAAACAGCTAGGCTTAATATTTGCGCCCCTGCACAGTCTTCAGATTCCTTTGCTGAAAAGAAAAATTGTGCTCAGTGTTCTACCCCACCATAAAGCAAACCATTACCAGATAGAAGTTTAGATTTTATTTATGCAGATCTTCTAAAGGGTGGGTGGCCTTTTTACTGGCCCAGGGGGACAAACCCACCTTGGCCCAATCCTCGAAGGACAACTTGTGGCTGTGACCACCCCATGTCTTATGCACATAGGCAGACAGCCTTCCTATTCAGCTGATCTGTGCAGATCCGTTAAGGGTGATGGCAGTGGGTATTGCTTCCTCTTCACTGAAGTTGGTCTGATAACCGGGAAGTGAGAGATTTGCACCCCTATCTGGGTGCTGGGCTGGCCCTCTGTGTTATTTCCCCTCTTTCTTGCTGCTGTCAAAATTGGTTGGGTCTTGGAAGAGGGGGCAGAAAAATATGATAGCGGGGGCAGATCAGACCTGTGAACCTGGAATTACATCACCCCTGCCTGATAATAAAATAGTATATGGCAATTGGAGGGCATAACATGGTACTGGCAGTGGCAGGCTTTGTTTGAGATTGGAATAGCTGAATAATTTTTTTCAGTGCTGTGCGGTTATTAAAAGCACAGAGCTCTTTGAAATGAAAGGTTCATATTGCCATCTTCCACCGATACTTCAGTTAGAATTGTCCATCCTGCTTCAGTCTCTCAAGTACATGAAAGGACACCTGACCCGACTTAAAGCCCCTACAATTCTGGGCATCTCTGTCACTGCGTCAAACACTAAGGAGAATTTTAACTTTCATTACAACATCGTGTTTTGCAAAGTGGTTATTTGCCACTGCCCTCCAAATCTTGTTGGAAATTATTTTAGAAGTTTGCTGCTTGGGTTTGACTAAATCACAGAATGCCCAAGTTAACGACTCTTGTCCTATTTACACACAGTATATGACATACTATGGAGTGTTGCAACATGGAAATCACATACGATGCAAAGAGAGGGTGCTTCATGGCCACACTCTTACCCCAGGGCTCAATCTAGTACCTGTATAATATCACTACTCTTTTAGCAGTGCACTATGTACCTCGGAAACATCTCTGGCTCGAGCATTTCCTCCTTCTGTGCCACAGGTTCATGAAAAACTAAACAGTTCAATTACTGTATTGCTTCTGCCTGGCTTTCCATTTGCTCCTGGAGGTATTGGCCAAAACAGACCCACTGTTATCTGCTTCCCTAGGAAAATCTGGGGCATGTTCTGTGACATCACTGGGGCATCATACTGAAATTAACACCAAAAGCAATGATGACTAAATGAATGCCACTTAATGCTGAGGAAGCTGTGATGTCTGAATGCACCCAAAGGAAAGTCTGTGCTAGCGAGAGATGAGTGAGTATTTACAGAGTCATTGAGGCGATGGGCAACAGAGGAGGTACTGCACCTCTCCCCCCCCCCCCCCGACTTTGCATGCCTCAAAGGAAAGTCTTTAACAAATGGGCTGATTGCTCAAGGAATGAGAGCCATGAAGTCAAAGCAGTGCGATGTTCCAGACAAACGAAACAAATTTACACTTCCTCATGGTTCCTGGTCTTGGGCTCCTGCAAAACCTGGCTGCAGTGACTTACTCCTTGTGTCTGCCGAGTCCCTGAAAACAAGGAAAAAGAGCCAGACTGTGATTCACCTTTCACTTTCAGAAGATTAGATGAAAACCTGCATGAGCAAAACACACCGCCTGCTTGTAGAAGTCACACATAGGAGAGGAGTTTTAGTGCATAACCAATTACCTACCTTTTGGACCCCCTAAAATTGTTTTATGTCTCTTGTACTTTGAATTCTCTGTCAGGAAGACTGCTTTGGACTCTTACCTTCAGCAAAATACATACAAGGGGGGAAATCTCAAGATGGCACCATGTCTTCTACTCCATAATCCCTGGAAGAGTTCTTGCTGTTGGAGTCACTTGGAACCATTGCTGACCTGTCTACGGCAATCCACATTCCATCCACAGATCATATCTGAACATTTTCAAATATGCTCAGTAGCTTCCTTGGGCCTTGAGATCATGAATGTCCCCCATGGTGGTGCCTTCACACAGATTTGGATTTGCTAGGCAGCCAATGCCCTCCCCTGCTGCCATGTGATTTGCACAGAGCTTTTTCACCTTTTTTTGCACACTGTACGCCTACGTGGTTTCATCTTCTACTCCTCCTCCACTGGCACAGCACAATTCTCCTTGTTTTCCGAAGGGATGGCGAGGTAGTCAGTCCTGGAGAGCAAGGTGAAAAGTGTACTTCAAGGAGAAAGTCCTGAACTGGCAATTTTAAAAAGTGGTTTATATGGGGAAGGACTTTAGCAAAGTAGGAGAGCACATGTGTGGCATCCAGAGCATTCTAGGTTTGAGCCTTGCTGACCTCTCCAGTTAAAAAGGGAGATCTTGGGACCAGACATCACCATCACCATCACCATTACCATCATCACCATCACCATCATCACCATCATTATTCCCCACCCATCTAACTGCTACTCTGGGCAGCTTCCACAAAATATAAAGGAACACAACAAAACACCAAACATTAAAATCTTCCTGAAACAGATGTGATGTTGATAATGTAGCTCACTTTTGCATAGCTTTTTTTTTTTTTAAGCCAGCATGGGAGGTGGGGAGTCAGATTTGGACCGTGGTGTGTATGTGTCTGGGGTTAACCATTTGCCTCTGCCATCCGATAGAAATCCTTACTGCTGCTACACCTGCTGTTTGAATGAGAGAAAATGGCTTTCCTTCCATTGCAAGTAGTTGGGCACTAGGATGTGTGACTGGATTCTGATTATGACTTGGCAGGGGCAAAGTTTAAAGCCCCCCCCCCCCCAGTTCTAGTTCAAGGTACCTGTATCAGGTACCATCTTCTTTTGGACAGAGATGACTCCGTTTTAAAATTGTGGTTTTATGAACTCCGATATGGAATCTTAGCCAATCATCTGGCTGCTGCATGTTGGACCAGCATCACGGAGCAGAAGGCTATCAATGGCTGCTAGCCACAACCCTATGCTCTGCCTCCACAACTGGAGGCAGCAATGCTTCTGAATACCATGTGTTGGAAAGCACAGAAGGAGAAAGTGCTGTTGCACTCAGGTCCTTCTTGCACGCTTTCCTTGGGGGGCTCTGGATGTCAACTGTGAGAGCAGGACGCTGGACTAGATGGGCTCTTGGTCCAACCCAGCAGGGCTATTCTTACATTCTTCTGTTCACTTACGCATTTTCCTGAGCAACCTCCTCTGCCTTGGCAACTTTCCTGTAGCAGTAGATCATTTCTACCAGCAGCCACAAAGTGAGGAAGACTAAGAGAATATACATCATTATTTCAGAGATGACAGATGTGAAGTCTTCTCCAGCTGTGTAGGGGACAAGAAAGGGAAAGAGCCACGTGAGCAAAGCCGCCTTGGTGGGCCACAGAGCATGGTGTCCTGCTTTGCAGCCATCTTTTGGAAACCTGTGAGCCTGTGTGATTTTCTATATCTTCCTATACGGAAGTAATTTGCCATGCAGAAACCGAGCGGCTTTCTTTTCTGGCTCGGACTGTAAGCTCTGTGCCAGTAGGCAGTTGCATGCCTATTGACTCTTATGGAATGGATTGTGCCAACTGGAAAATTACTAGTAACCTGCAGCCAGGAACCTAAACACACACAGTTCCCATTCGCCAGCTGGTGGTTGCAAACTGAGCAAGGATCCCACTGTACCACCACCTCAGTAGAACAGTACAACCTCAGGCTATTTGCAGAGCAATGTATAGAATTTCTTTTCCATAGACCATAGTGCCCCCATGTCATTCTTTACAATCTGGATGAAATACTCATGCAGAACATGATGTAATGCACATTATAACCAAACACTCCCAAGTGTTGGGAGGATCAGAGCTTTCGAGTAAGCAAAAAATGTTGAGAGGCTAAATGAGGTGAAAGCAGGATCACCACTAGAACTGGGTGAGACAACTGAGGTTCTACCATCTCTTAGAAGACTTTGTGGTGCCACCCACTGCATCATTGGCAATAAGGCTGACATTTGCACATGCACTTTAGATTGGGGGGGTTGGGCTAAATGACCCCTGGGGTCCCTTCCAACCCTATTATTCTACGATTCTATATGTTCTCCTTAGCACATGCACAAACGTGCAGAGTCGCTCAGATGACATACTTTGCTTGGGACAAACAGAGCTATGTCTGTGCCCATCCTGGAACCCTGACAGGCTCTCCTTTTGTTTCCTGTTTCTTTACTTTCCCCATCTGCAGATGTTCTATATTGTGCTGAAGACAAGGAAACAGAACCACCAAGAAACTCAGGGAGGGATCTTCAGCAAGGGAAGGAGACAGAGGGGTGAAAAGGACACGGAGAAAGGGGTACACAGCTGTTGGCAGAGGGGGAGAGAGAGAAAACAATATAGACACAGCGTAAGGAATGAGATGCAACAGGAGGGAGCCATATTTAGTTCAACAATCATTTAGCGCTGCTTCTGTTGAAACTGACAGTCTCAGCAAGCCATTAGAGAACAGCCTACGGACAACCCTTTCCCCCCAATGAGCCCAGTTTTGATGACTCATTGAAGTAAACTAAATGATGATGTGATTCCCTACAAGGACTTGGGACTTTTTAGTTTGGAGAAAAGACAAATAAGAGGTGACATAGTGGGCATTTATAAAATTATGCTTGGCATGGAGATAGAAGAGCTTTTCTCCCTCATAACACTAGAATTAATGGACATCCTGAATGTTGAAAGATTCAGGATAGATTTGAGAGAGAGAGTAATTTCCTCCAACAAGAGGCAGTGATGGTCACCAATTGGAATGACTTTAAAAGAGGATTGAGTAAATTCATGGAAGAGGAGGTTTTCAATGGCCGCTAGTGACCTTCATGGGTGGAAGCTGTAATACTTATTATGCATATAAGTTGCTGGAAGAGGAGAGCACTCCTGCACTTGAGGGTTTTCCACAAGCATCTGTGAGCACAGGATGCTGGACTAGGTGGGCCACAGGCTCTTCTTATATTCTTATGATAAACATTGCGGTGAACTGAGTTCAAATCTGGGGGTGACTGGAGGTAGGAAAGAACCTCTACTATTTTTACAGGTAAACAAACTCTGAACTAAAACTATATTGCCATATGGAAGACATGAGTTTCCTAATGACCCAAAAGTTTTGTGTGAGTGGGAGGGTTCTGTTTTAGAGGGTAGACAGAAGCAAAAGTCTATAGTTTTGAATTAAGGGACTATTTTACATCTGGCCTAAAGCTTGGCCAGTGTGGAATACAGTGCCATATACCTATTATTACACCAAGTCCATCACAAGCCCCATTTCATTACATTCTGCCTCGGCTCCCCAATAGTCCCTCGTGGGGAATGGTGACAAAAGGATGGTGAGATAAAGCTCCAAAATAAGCTTTGGAACCAAGTTTTCTGAAGGCAAAACTGTACACATGCAAATATTGCTGCTCGTTTGTTCAGCTCACTAACATGGAGTGAAAATCATTCGAAAAGATTTCAGGCCTAGTTCTTCCACTAAATGTATACCTTGTATTTTAAAGGAAGTAAGAAATGAATAGGCCCTTGCAAGTTTGAACTGTGTGTCCCTTCTATGGATCAGAGAAAATGTCCACCTCCCCCCCACCTGCCCCGCATAGTGGTCAGAGTAGTTTAAGGGGTGTTTGGCATCAAGGCTATAAAACGCCATCCATGTTTAACCAGCCCCACAGCGAGTGTCTCTGGGTCACCTAGGAAGTCATCCTTAAATTTGGCCCTTGACAAACCCTTCAGCCTGTTTTACGGAATGCAAATGTGGGAGAAACTGCTTGAAACTTGAGGAGTCTCTCCCCCCCTCCTTACACAAAATACCAACTTATGCATCAGCATCTTGTGTGTGACTGCAAGAGACCCACTGCCAAGAAGCACCAGAATTAAGGGACATGCCCGTCATCCTTCATACCCTCTTCCACCACCGTGAGACGGATGAGTGTAGAGCGGGTGACAACTGGTCGATGAACCTCAAAGTTGAATTCCCGAGTGACATTGCAGGTGTAGATCCCCGAATCATTCAAAGAGATGTTGAGCACAGAGATGGACACATCCTGCATGTCTATGCTCCCGTCCCATTGGAGACGACCACGGAAGCGGCTCCCAAGTTCCTGCTTCTCATTTTCGTACTTGTAGATCTGTAGGGAGCAGAGTAAGGAAGGATGCTGTCATTTTCAGACCTTTGTGCTGTCTTCTGTTGCAAGGAACAAAACCGGACTGTTTAAAATGTTTCTTTGGAAAAGTCTTCTTTTAAAGATCTTCTTCAGAGCCCTCCCTAATCTTAAACTCTTCTTCCCTGCTCCAATGGATATCGAATACAAAGAAAACATGTGACAAATGCATGTGTGGATTGGCATTTAATACGCTCCCTTTGAACAAGAAAATAAGGTGGCAATAGTGCAGAGCAGGAGAGAATGACACATGATCCCCAAGAATAAACATGAACAGATAGTCTATTTGGATTATGCTACAGGGGCATCTCAACAGTAGTGTGGCCAACACTGGGTGCTTTGCCAGGTGTCATAACTGAGGTCTAAAAGCAGCTGTGGAACAGCTGTCCTTGTGTGTCAGAACAGAAAAAGAGGAAGCAATGCAAAAGTATTTATCACACCAATATGTTTTCTTCAGCTGCTCTGTGAATAAACTGGAGTTTAGCACTTTGTTTTGCCAGGATGATGACTTCCCGGACCAGTAAATATTTTGGAGAGCTTCTGAAAAGATGTGTGAACAGCATTTAAACTCTCAGGACATTTAACCTTTCTGATCTAGCATGCCTGAAGCTGATGGCTGGTAAGATTCCTGCTCAGTCCTTGCAACTCCTTTAGGAAAGCAGATCTGACCTCCTCGCAGCAAAGCCTCCTGTGGAGATCACCTAATAGGGTTTGAGGACCCAGATGAGAATCTTGTTGGGAATAGCACCCTCATCAAAACATCTATTAATAAATGTCTAGTTATAGGCGAAGACCTATGCATTTGCAAATGATCCTCATTTTGCTGGTTTTCCCTGCCACCCATTACCTGAGATTTATCCTTTTCACCTTATTTCCTCCCACCCTTTATCAAGGAAGAGAATAATGTCTCCTGGTCCCTTTTTCCATTTCTCATCTCACAGGCTCATAGCTAGAGGCACCCAGTGTAATACTTACAGGCTCATCTATGCCCCCTTCGGTCTTATAGTACCACTGAACCAGAGTGTTGGCAGAAACCTCTTCTCGCTTCATGCAGGAGATACACAGCAGCTTCATGCGCGACCCTTGGACTGCCTCTGTCTCTGAAGGTACTTCAACGCACACTGAAGAGCAGACACCCACTGGAGAGCCATGGATCAGCAGCCCAGTTTGGATATGTGAGCATATAGGACAATTGGGAGAGGGACCCATTTCCAAGAAGGGAAAAAGACAGAGGAAGACACAAACACATGGAGAGGGGGTGGAGCGACACAGAGAACAATCTGTTATTCAAGATGCTTGTGATTCTCAGTGAAAATAAATCTCTTAATTCAACACTGGCATTCGTTGAGAATGGATTAAATATCAGGATTTGCAAAAAACCTTCCATCCTATGTTGATCTCAACCAATAATCCACATTAAATAATAACTTGGTGCTGAATTTACTAGTGCTTTGCAGATTTATGCAGTGTCCCATCTAATTCCTCCAACACAGAAATCTGAATTGTGAGATTTCAATGTTGCTTTGATTATTTCGGCTACAATTGAAGCACATGTGACATACAGTCAACCAACCAGAAGTTATATAATCCAGAACTGCAAGTTCTTTTTTGAATCAGAAAGGCAAATGTCACCTCCCCCTCCCTCCCTCCCAGGTTCTTTTTAAAAATATTATGTTTGTTCTTTACATTTCCCCAGAGACCCTGCAAAACACATTATGAAAACCTATATTTCTACACACACACGACATCTATAAAAGGCTATTTTTCCTAAAAGCTCACAACATTTAAAAAAGGCAGAAGCATAAAATACGAATGATAAAATGCCCCCCTCAAAAGTCCTATCCCCAACACAGTATTGCAGTCTACCAGACTCGACAGAGCTTTTCATCACCATTCTTATGTGAGAATTAGGATGCCAGAATTAGTATCATTCTGGTTCTCTTATACATAGCATAGTTTGCGCAAGTTCATGTGAACAGCTGGAACCAAGTCAGATCCTACTCAACAGTTTGAATGTTTCCCTCTTAAGTGCTACTAGCCAAGCATGTAGATAATGCTTACTGTACCCTTTCTAACTGACACTGAACAACGACAGCTTCTTTTTGCTAAGCAAACAGTGCCAGTGTTTCCCCAAGAGACATGGGGTTCAGGAAAAACATCTTCCTTGAGCCAAGAAGCCTGCACATTGCTCTGGGGTTTCATTTACTCTGAAGAGCATTTTTGCACAGAACTCTGAAAGCATTTCTGAATCCCCTCCTGTACCATTTCTGTACACATGTGAGAATGTTGTTCAGGGAATGTAGAAAAGAGAAGACAGCCATTTTAAAACTTAATGCACATTTTAGCCAAACTAGGGAATTGCAGATGTGGGGGGTGGCGGGAGAGCGAACCAATGCACCCCAAACAAACTGTTAAGTGTGGCATGTGAAAATGCTTTTAACTTTCAAAAGTGCATAGAATTGACTGAAGAGCAAGGCTGTAATTGTCTGTGCATTCTGCACCCCCCCCCCAATGCTTTAAATAAAAGTTGGCACAAAAAATTGCACTTTCGCAAACATGTTCTCCTTCAATGAGGCACAACCCTTTCCCTGTGACACTTCCAACACCTGTTTATCCATTTTTACAGGCTTCATTCCCAGCTGTTCCTCTGTTGCCTTGGGATCCACAGTTTAACTGAGCGGTCTGACAAGGGACAAATCCACAGTCTAAGGGGTTGTTTCTCTGTAAGGCTTCGCAGCCAAACTGCTGTGTTCTAAGATACAGCATGGGATCCAAAGTCTTGCCTGAATACTGCTGGATTCACTATTGCAACTGTATTTTGGAGGTAAAATGCAAAAAGAAGAAGAAATGGTTGGAAGCCCCTTGAAAACATCTTTGAAACTCAGTTTTGACATGGGAATTTAAAGGTACTTGGGCTGTTGCCTCCTTTTCTAAAGACTCCCTAGAGAGAAAGCAAGCTCCAAGTTTAATTCCCAGCATCTCCACCAGCCAAGCAAAGCTGGAAGAAACTCCTTGCTTGAAACCTTGGGACAATATTGATTTAGATAGATCAGCGATCTGACTGGTAGAAGGCAGCTCCCTAAGGCCCTCCTTGGGGTGGAGTGGGGGGAAGGAAAGTTAATATGAAAGTCATTGCAATTCGCAACCAATTTTCCTCCGGCTTCACTTGATATCGTGCACGTGCAGATCCAAGTGCACGAGGCCCATGGTTGCGCTTTGACTCTGTCCAACCGGGAAACAACCACAACCCTCCCCTTAATTAAAGTGGTGCACAATAGCTCGCCATGGCAACCCTTCTCTCTCTCTCGAGGAGCTGCTCAGGCCCCCGGGGCAACTCGGCAATTAATGACTTCATAGAGGACCTTCTCAGGGATCCTTCCCACTGAAACGGAACCCCTCTCTCTGGCTGTCTCACAAATACACACGTTTCACATGGTTTCCTGGACCGCAGGCGGGAAGCACCTACCGCAAAGGACCACCACCAGCAGGGAAGAGGCGGCGGCCACCTTCGTTAGCGCAGCCATGGCTCCTGGAAAGGCAGACTCGGCTGGGTCTCCTTTCTCCACCAGATCTAGTAGCTTAGTCGCCGCGCAACTGGATCCGGGCGGGAGGGGGAGGAGGCGCTGGGCTGGAACCGACCGATGAGAGCAGCCGGGCCAGGAGGAGGCAGGGATCAGGGAGGGCAAAGGTGCACCGTTCAAAGTCCCTTCCTGGCGCTCCTCCTCTCGTAAGGCTTTTCAGCACCAGGGAGAGAGCCCGCGGGTCGCCGCCCTCTTTGGACAGCTTCGCGCTGGAGGAGGCGCTGGGCTGGAACTCGCCGATGGGAGCAGACGGGGTTCCCGGAGGGCAGCGGTGCACTTTTAACTGACGCGGCTCCCGCGTAGCGGGTTTCAGCACCACGGACAGCTCCTGCGGGTCGCCTCCCTCTTTGGACAGCTTCGCGCAGGGCGGGCAGGGTCGGGGTTACCTGGCGAGGGCGCCAGCGCCGGCTGCCCCTTCCCAGCTGTGGGCATCACCAGCCCCTTGGAGCTGCCTGCGCTGCCCTGCCCCCGCCTGTGCTCAGCCCAACGGTTCAGGGGAAGAGAGGCGAGCGACAGAGGACAGCAGGGGTCTTTAGAGAGCCGCTGGGCCCGCTTCCTACAGCCCCGCGGCGCGAAGGGAGTCGAGGAGAGGCCCGAGATGGAGGGGCTCCGCAGCCACCAACCCTCGCCGTCGCCACCCTCGCCGCCACCTCCAGCTCCGAGCCTCCCCACAGGAACAATGCATCTCAAGCCGTGTGCTGGAGCCCAGCCTCCTGCGCCGGCTCTGCGTGGCTGGGACGGCTTGTGCCCGCCTTACGAGAGCGCGAGGGTGGGTGGAGGAGGAGGAGGAGAAGGAGGAGGAGTGCCGCCGCCTCCCTTCTCCGAGCCGTGCCTGGATTGGGAACAGCCCCTCAGGACAAGCATGCGCAGACCTCTCTTTGGCAGAAGCAGGCGTCCCCCTCCCATCAGGAGAGCGAGACTCCCTTTTCCCGAAGAATTGGGGGTGGGTGGGGCGTTTCCTACCTCTTTCCAAGCCAGCTGCTCCCAGAGCCCCTTCACATCTACACCACCCCTTCAGGGTTGTGCGTGGACGCGGGGAAGGAACCATGTGCCACCTTTATTTCCTTGGATAAAAGGTGGGATATAAATCCAGCCAATCCATCACTAATTTAAATGTGCTTTGAATGTATGGTGTGGATGTAGCCAAATCCAAGGTTCACTTTCTCTGCTGAAATCTTTCATAAGCAAACAGCAGCAGGCAAAATGGAAAAAAATACCCTTTCCTGGAACAGAATGAGGCTGGCAAGGAGAGCAAAAGAGAAAGAGAGGGAGGCTGAAGGGACTGCTGCCTCCAGAGCCCCCAAAGCGCCCATCATCCTAAATGATTTCCATGCAATCTGATGGGATGTTCTTCAGTGTTTGAGTGCACAGCAATGCCTGGCATCCTACCAGAGGAGCCATGCTTCTCTGCTGTGGTTTCCTAAAGGTGGTAGCTAGTCGGGAGTGGCAGCAGTGGCCTGTAACAAGTCCATGTGACTGCCATTGGAAAAGCTCCAAAGGTCACTCTTGCAGCTGGAAAGGCTGAGAAAGCCTCTGTTCTCATAGATCCGGCTTGTGCCCAAAGGTTTTAGTGGCAGGAGCTGGCTGGGGCTCTTCCATCTGGAGAGGAGCCACAATTCCCATCACATGCATCTCCAACTCTGCAGGGCAGTCTGTGGTCAAACCTGAATGGATTTAGAAGAAGGGGATGCTCATTAGATCAAGCCAGGGTAGACGGGGATATACTGATAGCTTGCTGGTTGATTTGCAGTAAATTGGCAAGGATTGCAGACTCTCAGTTGTTTAACAGCAACAGGAACTAAATGACCCGCTCCCACCCAGTTGCATTGCTGGAATGAAGAAAGATGTTGATGCTGCTTGTGGTTATGAAAGTGGCAAAAGTGGAGTGGGCATTTTGTGTGCTCAGTTCTGTTTTAGTACCCAAATCATTCCTGGACTCAGAACTATTTAATTTGTTAATAAGTGTTTATCTTTTGCATCCAGCTTCAGCTGATGGATTTGGCTTGGGGGGAGGGATCCCAGTAAAAAAACACACACAAAGAAAAGTCAACCAAACTGAGCAAAACTCTCCATTAGATGATTTTGCAACCATGTATTTCAACCTCTCTCTCTCCTGCTTTCATAGAAGTAGAAAGTTCCCACCGCCTTGTCTCTGGCAACAAGAAAGTGCAGGAAGGGCCACTGGATGGCTGGCCTCCAAACTAGACCTGGCCAAGAGAGAGGGCTATTCTCAGAAACCCTAAGCACACCCAGCTGTCGTGTCTCTTTAAGCCAAGCCTACACATCAAAAGCAGTTCTCAGAATAAATGTATTACGCCGTAAATGTTACTCCCTTCCCTGGAAAGCAGTTGCTGCTATCTGAAGCAAGCAGGCTAGAAAACAGAGTTATATCCCTGCCTGGGGTTGGCTTTTAGAAGGCATCAATCAGCTCTACATGCCTGTCCTCAATGCAATTTCCACTTCTTTCATACGTGGTTGTGTTTGTGGGCTTCATTGCATCTCAAGGCACATATTTACATAAGAGCAGATATGTGCCAAATACAAGGGATCATGTTCGCTTAAACAACACATTTTGAATTAATGTTACATGGCACCCTGTTCTTCGGTTATGTAAGAAAAAAGGCACATCTCCCTGAACATCTGCCAGGGGTGCCATAATTACTTGGTTGAATGCTGCCTGCTGATCCTGAATACATTGTCCATGATGGCTGGGACTGATGGGAGTTGTATTCCTCAAGAACTTGGAGGGCCGCAGGTTCCTCATTTTATTAAGCCCTTTCAACTCTGTCATTCTATTAGTATTATTTGCAAATTCTTAATCATTTTATGCATACCAATTACATTTTAAAAAAAATAAATCCATTTTTTTCTTCCCTTGGAGATATCATCAAAACTAAATAAAGCCTGGGAAACATGTGATCATCTATTTATTTGTTTTTTCTCTTGGAGTCATCTGCATTTTGTCTGCAGTTCACCTCATATAATCTATCCTGGGCCTAGTGGGTGGATATTGCTCAGCACTGCTTCATATAGATCTTCAGAATCTGTTAAATCAGGTGGCTTGCACTCTTGTCTGACAGCCATATGCTCACAGAAGCACTGTGAAGTCATGCCTGTTTGCAGCAGGCCAGATTCCTGTCAGGAAATGCAAGCCCCTGGATGTGAGAGAGGATGTGGTCCAGTAGAGAGCATTCATCACAGAGCAGGAGCCGTTAAGGAAAGACAGGCTGTTTTCACCTGTGATTAAGAAAGAACCTGGATGGAACACTCTGACTCAACTCCTATAAATGGCCTACTTTCGCTCTCAGGAACATGGCAAATTTTGGCTCTCTGGAGTAAACCGTTCTGTCCCCAAGGCCAAGGCATGGTGAGTCTGTGGGTGCCAGGCAAGAATATGTTTCCTGTTCAAGTTGTTCATGGCAAACGAAGTCCAGTAGGAGTTGTTTATCTGTCTTACACCACCATTTCAAAAGGTGCCCAGTCATTGTGAACAAGCAGTGATGCTTTGGAGGGTCCTTTGACAATAACTTATTCATGATCCACCTTCAGTGAGTCCACCTTCTGACCACCATTATAATCAGCTCCACCTCTTCCTGGCCACCACAGTTTTCTGGGCCTGAGCAAGAGGCAGGGCAAGAAGCAGCCATTTATTTATGTACAGCATTTATCATTACATATCTACCCTCCTTTCATCTTAGAAGGCATACATGGCTCTCCCCCACCTCTCCATTTTATCCTCACGACTGCCCTGTGAGGTACATTAGGACACTGGACTAGATGGGCTGCTGGTTTTCTTATGTTTCTATGTGCAGATTTTTTTGTTGGCTGATTCTCACTGTTTTAATACAGTGATCGCACTTGCTTTCATTCCATCCGACTGACATTCTGTGAAGAAAGAGCCAGAAGCTGTCATTAAAGTCATTGCTATCCACTCCCCATTTCCTCCAGCCTTCTGTATGCTCATTAAGCAAGTGCTCTTTTGCAGGAGAAAGTTTTCCCCCCACCCCACCAAAGGGCAAGAGGTCCCTGTATGGCTGGTGAAGGCTCAGTCCTCTTTGGTCTTTCAGCCAGAGATAGCACACACACAGACACACACACAGAGAGAGAGAGAGAGCGCGCACTGGAAACATTGATGAATATGAATTGTGAATGCTACAGAGAGCGGAACCGCTCTCTGTGCAGGGGTTGCTATGGGAACACCATCCCAGCCAGGGCAACACAGGCACACAACACACACACACGGTCTGACACTTCTGTAGCAGAACAAGGAGGGGGGGATGATCAAAGATGCCCAACATTTCTGCCTTCAACAATTCCTCTGATTTCTCTGTGATGCCTTATTATAGGCTGGAATCAAGAAATAAACCTGAGCAGGGATGCCTGGGCCTCATGCAGTTACTGGCAGATGGCTTCCCTGCCAACCATTAGAACAATTGCAGAAATGCCTTTCATTGTGCAAAGAGAAATATTAGCCATGCCTTGCCACTTCTGGCTGCCAGGGGGTTGAGAGAGACCTAGATCTATCAGCAGCTGCTCACCATTCATCATGTACTGGTGGGTTACTCTTTCAGCTGCTTAAATTTGGGGATAGGACTGTCCTGAATAGAGTCTGCCTTCTTCAGCAGAGGTCTCCAGGGGGCAAAAAAAGTACAAGGGCTCCAGCAGCAGAAGGGACACAGTTCAGTGGTGGAGGATCTGCCTTACCATGTGGAAGCTTAGTACCTGACAGCAACTCTAGGTAGGGCTGGGAAGAGACCCCTGCCTCAAACCTTCTACTGGTCTGACTCAGTAGAAGGCACCTCCTGATGCTGCTCTGTACTAGACCAGGGCAAGAGCTCAGTGAGAAGGGCAAAGAATAAAGGGGAAGGCTACTGTGCCCCACCTTCTTGTTTTTTCCTATATCTTTCCAATAAAAAAATTGCAGATCATTTCCACAAAATAGTGAGGGTGCTTTCATACTGTGGCTGTTTTCTGGTGGTATTTGGCCACACAGTAGCAAATTCAGGGCACTCTTTTAAAGTTGATTTGTGCAATAAATCAGCATCCCCCAAAGATGGGACTTCTTGTGAGATGATTTGTTTCAGGTCACCTCTTCTTCGCTCTTTCTCTAAACTAAAAAGTCCCAAATGCTGCAACTGTTCCTCATATGGAAGTCACTCCATCATTTTAATTGCCCTTTACTGAACCTTTTCCAACTCTACAACCAGAACTGTACACAGTATTCTTTCACGACCCCTGGCCTCAGAAAGTTGTGGGTGTTATTTGGAGGCACTCGCTGCCAAAAGAAAGGAAGAGAACTCCATGTTTCTTCTCTGTGTGTCTCTAGACAGATGGACCACTGGGACTTTCTCAGAAATATACAGAGAACAAACACCACATCCCATGCTTTGAGGAACAGTTCCATATGAAGCCATCTGTTAGCATGGCTGATCTTAGCCCGTTCTTCCACCTATGGAGACTACAGGTGCCGGAAGGACCTAGTGGTGGCTATCACACAAAGAACAATCACATCTGATGTGTTTTATCAGTGCAGCTCTGCATTTCCATCCATAGAGGGTGAATGAAGACTCAGCAGGTGGCGCTGTCTCTTCCATGAAGCTTCCTTTGTCAGGCAGGATGGCTACAAAGATATGTAGTGAGCCTGATGTGAGTCATCAATAGTGTTCAGGTCAGGGCAGGTCTTATACCTTTCAAATTTCAGTGGTGCCCTGTGCAAGGCCAAAATTCAATACACACACCCCACTTCTTGTATTTTCTTCTGTGCATGCTCTACAGCACCCCTCTCAGTGTGATGCCCAGTGTGGGGAAACTCCTCTAAATCTGCCTTTGCTTATGTAGCCATCAGCATCATGTGAAAATGTTCCTGAAGATTGTCAGGCAAAGTGAGCACATTGAAAACCCAGGTACAATGAAACATACAAACAGAAAGCCTCTGCCCCACCAATGAAAAAAGCATCACTTTCCAGCTCACTTACCAACAACCAGTCTGAACAGAAATACCTTTCAGAGCCACAGTCTCTGCACTAATCCAGGAATTTGCCTTCCGAGCACAATATTTTCTTTTCCCAAATAGCCAGTGTGGGTCCTCTGATTCATAACAGGAGGACCCTGCACTCAGGGGGGTCAGGGACTGTAATTCTCCAGCCCATGCAGTGGTCCCTTATGTCTCCATCTCCATAGGGAGAAGAAGCTCCTATTGAAACAAATTGGGGCTCCCTCCAAGGCCAATAGCAGGTGTAGAGGAGGGAAAATCTGGAAATCTGGGGGACTAGATTCAGAACTGGGCCCCCCAGATAGGCTATTTTTGGAAGAATGAAAGAAAATCTTACATTCAAGAGAATACCAAAAAGTACAAAATGCTGTGACATTTCTTTGTAGGGGCGCTGCTGCAGTCCCTTGATCATTTTGGTTGTGCTTGACTGATTTAACCCATCAGCGTCTAGATACCCTACTGTACCAAAAAAGGTGAGTTTTTTTTAACCCGGCATCTAAAAGGTTGGATTGAGACACACTTCAGTGAAGAGGTAATTTCACAGGCAGGGAGGAGACACCCCCTAAAAAGATCATTCATTGACAATTCCAGGAATTCAGAACTGCCAGATCTCCTATCGATGAGGAAATGCCACTTATTTTCTCTAAATATTGTGTGAGAAATGTGCTTCATTGGTTCCTTGGAGATATTAAATTTAACAAAAGATGGGAACAGAGAGATGGCAAGAGAAATGATAGCAGAAGGCAGTGTGTGAGAGAGATCGTAGGCTCAATTTGTGCTTCAGGTAAAGAACGTGATGGGGAGTGGGGATCAGAGATAAATTTGGCTCTTCAAAAACACGAAAGATTCAGATTCCAATGTGGGATGAAATCCGCCCATAAGTATTATAGTAAACAGAAAAGACAAGAGGAGACAATAACAGCAAACTCAAAATCAATGTTCATGGTAAACTAACGATTCCTAGCAGCCTAATACAACCTGGAAATGCTTCGATGCAAGTGAAATTCAGCATTTAGCCACACAGAGGCAGCAAGGAGCAGCATGAAAGGATTCCTATGGGCAACCATGGGTCTCATGCCATTGTCAGGAAGAATGCGGCAACAAAAGGACAACCTCTGATCTTTTAGCAACAATTCTCAAAGGTTTATGGTATCCTTCTTCTGGGCATGTTTTTTAATGAGACTGGACTAATAAGACAAGCATTTCCTGATAGCAGCAAAAGTTTGTGCATCTCATGAGTGCTGAAACGAGTTTTTTTAAAGTGATCCTTCTTTGGGAAACTCTAACCTGAGAATGTGATGTGCTTTTGCAGCACCGACTTCTAAACATGTTTATAAAGGTTACAGCAGCTACTCTGAGAGCTAGTCTGGAAGATTCCTGCATGCAAGGAGGGAGGGGCTCATGGCTCAAGCAGATTTTTAACTGCTCCAGAGTGCTTAAAATCCCACCAAACAGCTGGCTTGAAACACTTAATAAGAACTTAAGAGCCACCTGCTGGATCAGGCCAAAGGCCCATCTAGTCCAGCATCATGTCCTCACTGTGGCCAACTAGATGCCTGTGGGAAGCCTGCAAACAGGACCTGAGTGCAACACAATGTTCTCCCCACCTCTGATTCCCAGCCACTGGCCTTCAGAGATATGCTGCCTCCAACAGTGGTGGGAGAACACAGCCCTTGTGGCTGGTCGCCACTGATCAGTGTATCCTCCACAAACTTGTCTAAAACCAGTAGTGGGCGGTGGGATGGGGTGACACTAACCTCACAGCAGCTCACCTGGGCGACACTGGGGCAAGGCAGGAGTGAGACCAGGATTGTGCAGGTGCACAAGTGGAGCCCATGTGGCCATGTCTTGACAGCCACACCCATGTCAGAGCCCTCCCATGTCCCCTTGAGGTGCAGTGTTGGGAGCGGGTCTCAGCAGATCTGCCCCATCATACTGACTGCTGCTGGATATTAAAGCAGTCCAAGTTGGTGGCCATCACTGCATCCCAAGTGACTAAATTCCAAGGTTAACTGTGAGGTGTGTGAAGAAGTCCATCCTTTGGTCTTTCCTGGATCTCCCAGGGGTAATCTCTTCCTACATGGACTACGAAGGATGTCCACCCAAGCTGGTTACTGCAGGTATGAAATAGGCTGAAATCATAGAATCATGGGATGGTAGAGTTGAAAGGGACCAGAGGATGATCTAGTTCAACTCCTTGCAATGCAGGAATCTTTCAACCAACACGGGGCTCGAACCCATGACCCTGTGATTAAGAGTCTCATGCTTTACTGACTGAGCTATCCCTCCACCCACCTGTTAGGATTCTTGCTCCGTGTTTGCAGTCATGGGATTGTTGTCTATCACATGATGGTGTATGTTTTCATTCCACTGAGTGGGAAGTGACGGAGACAGGATGTTTTGGTATTACTGTGTTCTGTGAAGTGGGATTATTTCCCTTTGTTCTTTCTCTTTGCTGTATGATGAGAAAGAGGAAGGAGCTAAAACAGAATGCTCCGAGTGTATTATATGTAAATAAACGTAGATTAGCCAAAATGCTGTGCTACTGAGTTCTGTTACGCAAACTGCGAATGCTCTGCGTATCTCTAAGTGTGCTGATGCTTCTTGGTATCAATCGCTGTGTTGTTTGGGCTGAGGAAAGCTTTTGAAGCTCCCGAACGAAAGACCAGGAGGGAGAGAACATGCCAGTCGGGCATGTGTCTCTACCAGGGTCCTAGAAGAGTGTAGGATGATCCTAGCACCATCTACCCCTTCCACAGCTGACAATGGGCTCATATTTCCTTCAGTTTGGGTAGCTGTTTTCTTCCTCTTCCCCCTCCCCAAACTCTACATTAATCCAGGGCTTCAGAACATCTGCTGCTTCACCAGCTCCAAGGAGTCCCAAGGCTCCAAAAAACCCTTCCGTAGGAGTGTTGAAGTCATGGTTGGAAGAGGGGGGACCAGCTCCTACTGACTACTGCCATGATCTCAGTTTTCTCCTGACTGCTGCCCACATTTTCAACTGGCCTATTGACCACTGGGTCCTCTCTCTAATACACAGTCAGCTCCCATTACATTCTGCTAAAGGTGATGCGTTACAAATAGACAGATCACAGATTCTGCACACACTGACTATTGCTGGAGTGTTATGTGTCGGGGTTGGAAAAAATGACTGTAATACAGATAAGTGGGATATGGTCAGAAAAATCTGGGAGCGGTTGAATTTGGTTCAATGAAGAGAGGTGCTGGAGAGCAGAGAGAATCATCAGGTGCAATTAGATAATTGGTGCCTGTTAACAGCTTATGGAAAAAGAGAACTGGAAATAACAGTGTTGGAGTGGGTGACCTATTTTTTTCAAAGATATAATTTGCAAAGTGGGGAAACCTCACAGGTATAAAAAGGAAAAAAATGCTTCCTTCCCCTTCTTAGCTGTTTTGATGTTAAAACAAAGGTATGTGTGGAATTGTTACTATTTGGTAAAGTTATAAGCAAATCTATTTTTGTTTGTATGCATTTTTTTTGTGAAGAACAAGTGTGTTTATATATATATATATATATATATATATATATATATATATATATATATCTCCACATTAACTTTAACTTAACCATACAATACACAAGAGCTTACTACATGTTAAATGAGAAAATACACAATCAGGCTAAATACATTCATTTAGCAACCACCATCAGGGGCTGCAGATACCCGAGACACTTTCTTGCATTATGTGGCTGATCAGCCTGCTGTAATACAACTGCCACTTCTACATAATTTTGGGGGGGTTAGATTTATTGTGCAATGAAATTAATTTTTCAAAATAAATTTAAACGCCACTGTTTGGGATAGCTTAGTCAGTAGAGCATGAGACTCTTAATCTCAGAGTTGTGGGTTCAAGCCCCACGCTGGGAAAAAGATCCCTGCATTGTAGGGGGCTGAATTAGATGACCCTCATAGTACCTTCCAACTCTATGATTCCCTGATTACACAGACATACAAATACCAATACCAATACCAATACCCATTTGCGTCCCTTCTCCACTGCCCTCTCACACCACCCCAGCCCATTCTGCAGGCTCTCACCTTTCACTGCTCTTGTGTCTCCCTTTGTTATCACCTTCCACCCCCCCCACTGCCCTTTTATCTTTCCCTGCCATTGCTCAGGTCCCCCTCCCTTTTCCCTCTGGACTCTGACCTGTAGTGATTCTCTCTACCTTCCCTCCTTCCATTATCCCACAGTCCCAATGCCTTAGTCTCTCCCCCACCCTTCTCTTACTGCCCTCACTCATCTCCAGCCACACCCCTCACTTTCTTCTTTTGTTTACAGTCATACTTCGGGTTACAGATGCTTCAGGTTGCATTTTTTCAGGTTACAGGACCGCCGAAACCCGGAAGTACCAGAACGGGTTACTTCCGGGTTTCGGGGGTTGTGCATGCGCAGAAGCGCTAAATCGTGCTTTGCGCATGTGCAGAAGCACCGAATCGCAACCCGTGCATGCGCAGATGCGCTGCTGTGAGTTGCGAGTTGTGAATGCTGCAGGTTGAGAACATGCATCCCGCACAGATCACATTCACAAACTGAGAGTCCACTGTATTTGTTTGTTTTTGAATATTTGCACCCCTCTCTCCAGCCAAAAAGGCTCCCAGAGCAGCTTACAATCAAAACAAGACAGCCTCTACCCTCAGGCTTACAAGCTGAAAAAAGACAACACACAAGGGAAAAGGAACTGGGAGGGAAGAGGAAAATCAAAATCAAAACTCAAGCACCAATTTCTAAACAGTTGTCTAAACAGTTTTCTAAAGAGTTGTTTCAGGTGCAGGCAGTAGCATGTGGAGCAGGGCTTCTGGCAAAGCTGATGGAATGAGTCTTCTGCTTCCCATTTTTCCCACTGAGGCAGTCTGAGGGAAGGGCTGTTCCCAGGTGATGGTGGAGGGAGAGTTGATTACATATCCGTAACCAAGGGGAAAAGAACTCCAATTTTCACAAAAAAAGCACACTTCATAGCCCCCCTGACGACTCTAGCAGGCAATTTGGACTTAAATATGACAAACAAGCCCAGTCTAGAGCTGGAAGAAGCCAAGGGGGGGGGGGGAGGGCACATCTAACAAATACTGAAACAGCTGGGGGATGGGGGAGGAACTGGATTCAGATTGCATTTAATGGTGAATCTATCAAATTCACTCTTGCAAAACAACATGAGAACTGAAAAACTGTCATCCTTCAAAATTCACATTTCTCTGACTAACATTTACACAAATGAATATAGTAGGGTGGGCATAAAAATGAATATATTAGTGAAAACAATATGCACAAAATTGCACTATATTAAAAGCAATTGCTTGCAAAAAAAATGTGTACACTGGTGACTACTGCAATTAGGTGAAATTTGCAGTAAAATCCTGATGAATTTTCATGAGGATTCTCCTCCCCCCCCTCCCAAAAAACCAAATTGCTGCAGAAATGTGGAAAACTTTAGATTGGAGAAATAATGAGAAAGTGAGAGAAGCGAAATTGACAGAGCCTTCCACTCTTGACAAAGCGTTCCATCCCTAACAGCACATCGTATCTCTTTCCCACCCCCTCAAGGCAAACCAGCCCCAGAGGCAAATTTAGGGGTGCACAACCAGCTTGGGTGCACTGAGCGTAGAGTCTTGGGGGTGTTGCAGAAGACTCTACAACTATTACGTAGTATTGAGTGCGAGAGGTGGGGGGAAGCTGAACTTTGGTGTTGCACAGGACGCCACTGAAATTTGAGGCTCCAAGGACTCCCACTGCCAGCCGGCTACTGCAAAGTCAGAAAAGAGAAGCCCATGCCTACTGTCATGCCTACTGGTGGCTGCATACAAGCAGCAGGCAAGGGCAGAGGCCCAAAGTGGGCAAAGCAAATGGATATGGCTCTTACCTTTGTATGGTAGGTGACGTCCCAGCCATGCAAAAGGCAATGAGGCTTCTCCATGCAAACCTCTCCATCCACACAAGCAAGAGGCACCACCCTGGTGAAAGGACACCTTCTAGATATGCAAAAGCACTCGAGGAGGGAGCCACTGAGGTGTGGCTTGGGGAGATGGGGGTGTGGCTTGGGGAGATGGGGGTGTGGCCTGGGGAAGAGTAGGCGTGGCCTGGGGGTAGGTCCTGAGGGTCAGTCAGAGAAGGCTGGAGGGCCAATTTCAGGCCCCTTCCTGAAACTGAGGATTCCCACCTGTAGGCTAGATGGGCAAATATCTCACCTAGCCAGCTTACAAATACACAGTGAGAAGCATATCTATACCTATATAATTTCAGGCTTAGTGTCATTACCCTCTTCCTGTCTCCCAGTTGTTCTTTTGGCAACCTGCATTTGCTAGGAAGATGCTTGGTCTCCTGCCCCACTGCCTGGGGAGGATGCTTTGTAATTGCATTAAAAATAGATTGCAGGCTGCGTACATTTACCGAACAGCACGAGCCACACCTTTCAACAACAACGAGGCTGGCCAGCCATGTAAAACATTGTCTTTGGCTACAGTTAGGCAACTTGACGCGCTGTAGGGAGTGAATCATTCGCTGCTGATATCCAAAAGCCCTTTGTTTCCTTGAATGAAATTATCCACTTTTCTCTCCCCACACCCACCCTTCCCCTGGTCTCATGCGCAACATTTATTTAGGGCTGATAGTAGGGCAAGATCTGCCTCTGTGGCAGATAAGTGGAATTCAGACGTGACGCTGCTTCCAGCATTTGCAAGGTATAAACAGGATGGAGATTTTTTTAAGTGACTCATGATTGGCAGCCATTGATTTTGGAGGGCACAGGCAGGACAGTCAACAGTATTTAGGTCGTTAGTCCAGATCAAATGCATTTAGCAGGAATAGACGACCGTTCTTATTCGTTGGCATTATGTGGCCTACATTGTTTTGGGTCAGTAGGTTCTGCTGGGGCAAGGAAGCATTTGTCGTTTACCCTCAGTAAAGCAAGGAGTTAGGGAGACTTATTCAAGCCAAGGGCTGCAGTCTCTCAGGGAGAACCTTCTGGAGGGTCACATGACAGCGTGGGCAGGGTTAGAGGAAAAATGGGTGAAGTAATGGGTGTGAGGGGATGCGGATGGTGCTGTGGGTTAAACCACTGAGCCTAGGGCTTGCCGATCAGATCAGAAGGTCGGCGGTTCGAATCCCCGCAACGGGGTGAGCTCCCATTGCTCGGTCCCTGCTCCTTCCAACCTAGCAGTTTGAAAGCACGTCAAAGTGCAAGTAGATAAATAGGTACCGCTCCAGCAGGAAGGTAAATGGCATTTCCGTGCGCTGCTCTGGTTTGCCAGAAGCGGCTTAGTCATGCTGGCCACATGACCCGGAAGCTGTACGCCGGCTCCCTCGGCCAATAGTGAGATGAGCGCCGCAACCCCAGAGTTGGCCACAACTGGACCTAATGGTCTAATGGGTGTGAATTTCCTCTTTCTTCTTCCTCCTCCTCCTCCTCCTCATCCTCCTCTTCCTCCTCCTCCTCCTCTTCTTCTTCTTCTTCTTCTTCTTCTTCTTCTTCTTCTCATTCTTAGCCAAGTAAGATTGTCTTCCATAAACATAAACATAGTCTTAGTGAGTACATAAGTGACTGTGAAGGCCAATTCTGGATCCACACGTCCTTCCACATTGGGGACATAGGTTTCCAGGTGGGAGTTGATCATGGTGAGGGTTTGCCGAGTGTGCCTTCCTCTTAGCATGCCCTGAATTTGAGTGTCTTCAAAGCCCATGGCACCTTTGGTGAAGGCTGCTCTCCAAGTGGAGCGCTCGCTGCATGCGAATTTCCTCTGTATACTTCTGTTTACACACCTCCACCCAAGTAAACATTAGGCCGTTTAACTGCTTAGACACATTTCAGCAGATCTGGTGAGGGGGCATGACCTAGGAAGACTTCCGAGGGCCAGCTATAGGGGCCCTGGAGAGCTGCAATTGGCCCACAGAGGGGAATTTCCCCACCTACACTTCATTGCTACAGCAATGAACCAAGGTTACATGGAATTCCCTTGTTGCAATAAAACCCTTACTATGCTTTGATTAACTTTTGCAAATGACAAAACAGTTATTATAATTGAATAAGTTAATACCAAGAAATGAGAAACTTCTAAAGAAGGCAGTTAAGGAAAGAAAAGAATAACTCAAATCGAGGTGGTGGACAGAAGTCAACACAAAAGGCAAGAGTGCTTAGGTCTGATAATTCAGAATAATCATCATGGGTTTTTGGTGGAGGGAAAGATATTTAGTTATTATGTATTTTTAATTCTTAGTTTTAGTTTGAATTTTGGATAGAATTTATCTGTGTATGTATGTAAAGCAAAACTCAATAAAAAATATTTTTAAAAAAGAAAAAAAAAGATTCCCCTGGGAAAGTTCACTTCAATTGGCAACAGCTCTTGACTTATCTTGAAATTCTGAAGATGTTTTCCTTGAATGGCAACCATTAAAATTGGTCCTACTTTTGACCAAACCTGGGTGGTGCTTTCCTGGTCTGTTTACAACTGGCGCAGCAGTGGCTAACTTGGACAGATCAATGATGCCGGCCTAGCTATCAGAACTAATATAATCTTGAAGGGCTTTGGCTGATGCACCTCAGCGAAAACTCTTAAATAGATGGAACACATTTTTTTCAGTGTCAAGAGAGAGACCAGAAAATGTGGAGATGACACAAAGCAGTCAGTTGCAATGCTCCCATGAAGGACATTGTTTGCTGAGGCACAGCCGTGACCTTACATAAGGTGCAAGGAAAGCTATCAGTCTAATGGGATCAAGGCATGGGCATGTCTGCCTGTCAGTACCTGCTCCTTTAAGTGGCATTGACTTCCTGTAATTCATTCATTGCCAGATGCTCAAACAATATCCCTACACAGGTCTTTTCCCTCTTGCTAAATACATAATCAAGGAAGGAAAATGATTAGGAAACCTAAAAAAA